ATTCATTGAAGGCCGTTTCGGCATCACCTTGGTTTTTAAAGCATTCTTCACCCAGGAAGTTGGCGAGGTGCTTAAAAAAGTGGTAGTCGGTAAGCGAGAGGTCGGGCGAGTATGGTGGGTGATCAAGAGCTTCATAGCCCAACTCATTTAACTTTTGCCGTGTGATCATTGAGACGTGTGGTCGGGCGTTGTCTTGGAGAAGAATAGGCCCTTTTCTGTTGACCAATCTCGGGCAGATACGGCAAAGTTTTTGGTTCATTTCATCGATTTGCTGACAATACAAAACCCCAGTGATGGTTTCGCCTGGATTCAGGAAGCTGTGGTGGATCAAACCGACCGTAGACCACCAAACAGTCACCATGACCTTCTTTTGGTGCGGTTTGGGTTTCGGGAAGTGCTTCGGAGCTGCGTCACGGTCCAACCATTGGGCAGAACGTCGCCGGTTGTCGTAGAGGATCCATATCTCGTCACAGGCGACAATACAGTCGAGAAACGGCTCGTTCTTGTTGCTCAGAAGTAGCGCCGACGACACTTCAAAACACCGATTTTTATGAACATCATTCAAATAGTGCGGTACCCATTTGTCGAGCTTTTTCACCTTTCCAATTTGTGTCAGATGACGAACAATTGTCGACTGATCGATGTTGAGTTCTTCGGCAACTTCTCGTGTAGTTTTGCGTGTATCCACCTCGATTATTGCCTTTAATTGATCGTTGTCAACAAACGTATTGAAATGAGCTGAAACAGAATGCCAAAACGAAATGAATCCTATTAAAAATAATTCAACTCCTTCAAATTTTGGTTTGGTCAAAAATTACTTTAATTTTTTATTGTCTATATCCTTGTTTATTTAACCTTGTTCTCCTTTGTTAAAATAAGCATTTGTAAATATGTTGTTGTAGCAAGCATAGCGTTTATATTGGCAATATTCCAATTCCAATCGATGTCATATATATATATGTCGTACCATAAGCAACAGCAGTCATGGGGCCCAGTGGCTTCAGGCGCATAGGGTTTCTACATAAAGTACGAGGCCGGCTGGATGGGACCTAAGTGAAACCAGAGAACAACGACACGGGCAAAGTCCAAGCAGGTCTCTGCTATGAGCTGTCGGTCGTCCAGTCGGTCGTGAACTCACTAACGACTTGTGGAAGATCCTCGGGAAGGGTCTACGTGATAATATAGGAAATTTTCCTGTTTGATATAATATGACAACGAACTGGACCTCGCCTTGCCTGGGTCGTTGATGACTCTCTTTTTAACTTTATTGTCTTATTTGATTACATGATCGCCAAGCTGGCGTGTTGAATTTTATATACATATTTGGTACCTTAACACTTATTGTAATTATGGTACAGGACAATCTAGTGTATATTGATATTTATATTATTTCATATGTGCCCTGAGACATACATAACAAAAACATCCGTAATATTTATTCTAACAATAATATGTGTTTATAGGTGGATACATATGGAACTCAACAGCCCATTGCCCTCCTTAAACTCTTTTTGGAAAGGAAAGGCTTCTACGATCGCGGGAAAAGCAAAATGTGGAAAAACCTCAGAGATTGGATATTCCTGGCTGCCATGGGGAAGGTATGTATCCTTCCTATAAAACTCTTGTTTAAAAAAATGGATCAGATGTATAGCACATTGAGATATTTTGGCTATTCAAGACTTGCCAAAATTGGCAGTTCAATTTGTTAAGAGTGTTCCCCTTTCAGGAAAATTCTTACTACTATAATACCGTATGCCAATCGGGCTCCAGTCCCCCTCGTTAGACCTAGCACTTCCCAAGGAGGTCACACGCACGCCCTCTCTGCTCCAGGAGGGGCAATACTTTAGGCATCGCCGACTGTGTCTTGAGTTATCATTGATTTACAATTTATTATTAAACATAAACTTTTTCTTGTTAAATCATTAGTGAATGTATTTCTAATCCCTCCTCTACGTGGCGGGCGGAAGAAGCAGCACAAGCAAGGGACTGCCCTGTAGGGCGAAGTACGGTGTCGTGAGTCCCGAGCTGCTACGGTAACCGTGAACAGGGAACTCTGAAATGTGGATGGCTGACTAATGGGGCAATGGCAGCCCCCCCCCCCCTTTCCATGGAGATGGACAAGACACTACCAGTGAATGTATTGCATGTATGGACATGTGGAGTGGTTAAACAACGTATGCGACTAAGATATCGTAATTGAATAACGGTGAATCATGTGTCTATTCTACTTATAGTGGCTTAGAGTATAGTTACTTATAGTGGCCGTATGACAGCAATGCTCTGTGCCCAGGCTGGCGGTGGCCGCAACGAGGTCGACCCGCGGTTCATCTCCCAGTTCTGTGTTTTCAACATGACTTTTCCCAACGACGCCACCCTGCACTACATCTATTCCTCCATCCTCGAGGGCCACACCGCCATTTTCCCCGAGGAGCTGCAGGCCCTCGCCAAGCCTCTGACATCGATGACGATGCAGCTCTACCAGCTTTTGATCCAGAAGCTCCCTCCCACGCCGACAAAGTTCCACTACATCTTCAACCTGCGCGACCTGTCCCGTATCTACAGCGGCCTGTGTCTCACCACCCCGGCTCACTTCCGCGAGCCCCGACACTTTGTCCGTGTCTGGCGCAACGAGTGTCTCCGTGTCTTCTACGACCGCCTCGTGTCGGATGAGGACCGCACCATTGTCAACGTGAGTTGTCACTCGGAGTTAATGACGCGGTTGATGAAAGAACTACAGCAGGGGTCGGCAAACTACGGCTCGCTGCCACATGCGGCTCTTTATATAGTTCCATACGTGAATATTATTTATGCGAGTACTATTTATTGTTGGCAAGAAAAAATTTATGACTTTTCAAAAACTTTTGAAATTTTGTAAATTGTAATTTTTGACTCTTCCGACTCAAAAGTTTGCCTACCCCTGAACTAGAGCTTTAGCCCACAGTCGCACACGTACGACGGAACATTTAAGAACCTTAAAATGTGTCAATGTAAAAACAAACTCTTCTGACGCCTCTTCGGCCAATAAGGTCCTTGCACTCACGGCTTTATCATTGTAATAGTGGGGGAATTAAATCTGGAGATATAGAAGAAATGGTCTTTCAAAAATTGTTCAATGCTTCAAAGAGAGTAACACGTTCATTTTAGAAAACCTAAATTGTCTGAGGCAACAATATAAGAGATTTTATCTGATAACAAATCTAATTGTCCAACGAATAAACTATGTTGAGAATCTTATTTTCCAATTCTAAGATCGACTACTGGAAGATTTGTCATAAAAAGATATGTACAAGTAGCCAACTGGCGTTTACCCAGCCTCTCAATGATCTTTCTAGGTCATCATTTTTCTAATGCCTCTACCTCCCGAAATATATTTACACTCTTTTATACATATTAGTAATATATTTTGCATTGGGATTAAAAGCGATCAATTTTAGATATTTTAATAATAAGTAGCCTTTCTCTCAGATGCCAGCCGGGTCATTAAGAGTTAAACATACATACTCGACCTGTAAGTACGTATGTGTGCTGCAGGGTAAGCTGGAGTCACTGGTCGAAGACAACTACCGCGAACACAAGGAAGATGTCCTCAGAGATCCCATACTCTACGGCGACTACCGTAATGCCCTGGACACGGAGGAGCCGCGTCTCTACGAGGATTTAGGGGACTATGCCACTATCAAATCTCTCTTTGAGGAGGTAGACCTTCATTTCATGTGGTTATTATCTTATAAAACAATCCTTTAAGTTTACTTTCAATAAAATGATGTATATTGTATATCCAGACGAATATAATTTCATGGCTCAAATTTTGATATATAATTATGTTACAAGAGATAGAAGATATGCATCTTTTATTGAATGGCTATTTACGTAAATATCAGCACTCTACAAAACTATAGATATCTCTTCCATCTCTGGTAAATTATGCTCAAATACTTTAAATGTAATATTAATATATGTGTGCTATTAGGAGTTGTATATATTGTTGGCTTTAAACATAGTAGAAGTACATATACCTTGATAAATGTTATCAATTGTAATTATGCCAATGATATTAAGAGTTAAATTATTTTAATGAGATTTTTAAAACTCTCTTTCTCACTCTCTCAATGCGCCGCTTATTTGTCGATATTTTACCTGCTTAATTTGAAACTAAACGATTAAATAGATGCTAAAACTTTTTTAGTTATTTATTCCTATGTTTTAGTGACCTACTGTCACCATTTTCAAGGAAAACTAACCTTACAATGTTTGAAAAAAGGTATTATGTTTATATTATCAGATTTTTGAAGGTTCGTTTTCCTTGAAAAGAATGACAACGAGTCACTCTGAAACGAAGTAATAAATATTTGAAAAGGTTGTAGTATTTAATTAATCGTATATATAATTCTAAACTGCAAAAATGTTTTTTTTTTTCTTTTATAATTTGGAATTATTGTTCATCAACATAATACTATAGGGCAGTGATTCTCAACCAATGTGCCGCGGTAATTTTGTGTGCCGCGAAATTCTAAAAATGTGCCGCCGAATTTTAGTCATATGATTATGTTCACGTTTGTATTGTTTTTCTTTTTTTCTTTTTCATTTTTTTACTTTTTAAAATAACGAAATTAGCAAATTGAATGTTAGAGATGTATATTACTTATATTTTGCATAGAAATATTGATACATAATTTGAATTTTCTTGCGTTCAAGTTAGCAAAAGTGTGCCGCGAAATTCTAAAATTGTGCCGCCAAATTTTCAAATCTTTAAAATTATGCCGCAACAAAAAAAAAAGGTTGAGAATCACTGCTATAGGGTGTTAAAAGTATTTCCTACGAGGAGAATGTCGCACTTTGACAGGCAGTAATCCTTTTATATCTAGAAATATCCATTTTTCAATTCATTTCCGTATTTCATGACTATACTCAACCAGAATAGAACTGTATTTTTGTTTAAATTATGTTTTAATTCATTTTACTATAGGTAGATATGTAGAGTAAGCAGCATTAAATGTCGTTGCCGAAACCCGGAATCGAACCAGGGATCTTATCTTCAGTCTAACGCTCTCTCCCAACTGAGCTATTTCGACTCACATTATATGTGTTAGATCCTGAGCAACTACAACGACTTCTACACGCCCATGGCCCTGGTGCTGTTCGACAACGCCCTGGAGCACCTGACCAAGATCCAGCGCGTGCTGAGGATCGACGAGGGCAACTGCATGCTGGTGGGGGTGGAGGGCAGCGGCAAGCAGTCCCTCACCCGCCTGGCCGCCTTCACCGCCGGCTACACCACCTTCGAGGTCGTCCTGTCCCGCGGCTACAAGGAGGCCAACTTCAGGGAGGATCTCAAGGTCCTCTATCAACAGCTGGGAGTGGAGAACAAGGCAGTCACCTTCCTCATCACTGACACGATCATCGTGGAAGAAGGTAATTGCACTATGCAACTCGGGAAATGAACTAGATATGCATAGACAGTCCTATACTGAAGTGACGCGAGGTTAATCCGACGTGGTCGTTGAAGATGCTTGTTGTTTGTAGGCTTCCTGAATTGGTGAACAACATCCTGACGTCCGGCATGGTGCCTGCGCTGTTCGCCGAGGACGAGAGGGACAGCTTAATGGGCGAAGTGATGAGCGACGCCCAGGCTACAGGGGCGTTCAGCAAAGACCAGGTGTGGCAGTACTTCGTTCGGCGGTGCCAGAGCAACCTCCACGTCGTGCTCTCCATGTCGCCGGTCGGGGAGACACTGCGGACCCGCTGCCGCAACTTCCCCGGGCTGGTCAACAACACCACCATAGACTGGTTCACGGCCTGGCCCGAGCAGGCTCTCACCATCGTGGCCGAGGTCTCCATCGCCGAGGTAAGTGCACTGCACGGGACTTTACTGTATATAGGATTTTACTATATGGGAAAACTCTCTTCCTCTATTTTAGGAATTCTGCCTTGAAGTTCCAATATTGTAAAACCCCCAACAGAGTGATATTCATACAATCAAGAATCCTGATTTATAGATAATCAAGAAACTACTTTTATCTAGCTTAAGTTCAGGTCATGATGATTATGATGAGTAGTTAGCGACTGATTTTTACGATAAGTGCATTGCATGTCTACAAATGTAGAATGCAGTCCGACTTTTGCACTTACAAGATGTCATAGCCCCATTCAGTTACGTGAACTCACTGGTGCTAAATCCAGTTGCATTTACGCAGGAAAAGTGGTCAACGAGTGATTCGATCGTGGTTGTCGAAAATTGACGGTTTGTACCACATCAACCTTTGGTGAAACTGGGATTTCTCTCGCAAGCAGAGAGAATGGATTGAAAATGTGATTATATATGATACTTTAAAAAATATTTTTTCATCTTCTTTTTATATCGAGAAAAGAGAGGACAATTAAATCTTTTAACTTTAGTTAAAACGTATTAGGTTAAAAAATAAATTATTAAAAAGCCCAAAATGGAATTTGATCCTGGTATATAGTCATCGTAAATTGACCGTTGTATCGCCATATCACCCACTACGACGACATATTAAAGTTGTCCCCCATGCTGTATAAGGACACGAGACGTGCTGTGTGCCAGGACCATAATGTACTGCCCAAGTACAAGCCCGCCGTGGTCCGCCACATGGTGCACGTCCATTGCTCCGTCGATGACTACAGCAAGCGCTTCCTCCAGCAGCTTCGGAGATACAACTTTGTCACTCCCAAGAACTACCTGGATTATATCCAGATCTACAGAAACCTGATGAACGAGCGCATTGAGTTTATTAACGAGCAGGTACGTATACATTGACGTCGTATTAGACACTTTCTCTTTTATAAAGATGCCTCCATCTCCTTTCCACTCCAATCGACAAAATCTACAATTCGTTGAGTGCACTGGAATCTAGCGTCAGGAAAATTATGAAATGTCCTGTAATCCATGGCCTCAGCCTATGACACTGATGATAACGATTTCAACGGCTCTTTCAGAAGAAAGTGAGACGCTAAAATCGTCAGAATACTCTTCTAAAAGGTGTTTAGGCTAGAGAAGTGGTTATGTTTCAAGCGGAATTAAATATTGTTTAAACAAAATGCCCGCGGTCACCACAATAACTTCTCATTACAAAACTTTTCATTTTAAAGCTAAGCTAGTGCGATGCCCCTCACAAACCTGACGTGTGGCCAGCACGACCGGCTCAACAACGGCATCGTGAAGATCCTCGAGGCCCGCGCCCAGATCCAGATCCTGCAGGGGCAGCTCGACGTCCAGCTCGCGGCCGTGGAGTCCAAGACCCAGGCCTGCGAGAAACTCCTGGTGGAAATCGACAAGGCCACAGTCACCGCCAAGGAGAAACAGGAAATAGCTCTGGTGAAGGAGAAGGAAATAGAAGAAAAGAATGTCGTCATCACCACAGAGAAGGTCTGGAAATATATTCTCATTATGAGTAATGATAGGTTACACCTCGTTGATATCTATGTGTGTGTGCTGCACTATATTCTTCATTTCCTCGCCATATAGAATGTAGAATAAATAGCCAAAATGTAGTTTGGTACCTGCAGCTCCAGAACACATTTTGGCTTGCATTAGATGCACTAAACAGGACCTTTTGGAGAGGCCGCTGCTCATCATAAAACAGCTCGAGGAGCATGAACTCATGGAATTCGTGTGATCTTTACACACGGGGTTAAGAAACAACAACAGAATAATAATAAAGAACCTCGTCGCCGTTAGCTTTGATTCTTTCTTCGAAATGATATCTGGCGATTCCTTCACTTGTAATATACTACAGCCTCCCATGGATAACCTAGCTGATGAGCGTTAAGATTGTGAACCTAGAAGTTTCCATGGTCTTTGGTCTCTAATTGGATATTTTAATGTATAGGTTCAATGCATCATGTTAACATGGCCTTAAGTTTATTATGATGATATTTGACTAGAGAATCTCTTGGTCTTTTTTTGAGTTCACATATTCCGTCTTACTTGAAAAGTCTTCAATCGCCCACAAACTTACTTATTAACCTTGTAGCCACTAGTTGTCTGGATACTTATTCACCATATAGGATAGCTAAGAAAACCTTTTTTGTTATTTCAGGCCGAAGCCGAAGCAATTCTGCAGGAGGCACTTCCCGTGGTGGAGAGCGCCCGCCAAGCTCTCAGTCAGTTGGAAAAGGCCGACATCACCGAAATCAGGTGTTCTTTAATGTTGTCACGATAGTGTGAGAACATCTTGCGAATGGTACTTTTGTTGATTAGTGGGTACGATCTATATTTCTATGAAAAACATAAAATATAACACACAAAATACTCTTTACCGAGTTGTTATTTTAATATATGATATGGAACTTGATAAAACGTATATCTCTGTGTTACCATTATCCCTCTTTTACGACCACTTCAAAATCCTATCCTAAATAGCGGCCACCGCCCCAAATCCTGATGACACCCTTTCCATCCACCCTCTGTACCTAGCAGAACAACTGGAACTGAATCCTTGACATACGGTATTTTTGTAAGACTGATAATATTACAATAAATGTTCATCCCTGACTTGTACTTGTAATTTTATAAAATGTCAACAAGCAATATAAGGTTAAGTTTCTTGTACCAGTTATACTCCTGTTGAAGGACATGTTAGCCCCCTAAAACTAGAGAAATAAAATGGTACAAGAAACTTAACCTTATATTGCTTGTTGATATTATTAGACTGATGATATTGACAACTCTAAGACAAACGGCAGGATGACACGGGGTAGTTATTTTATTTGAATCTGAATATTTTAGCCTTATATACATGTTATGAATAAATTTGTTGTTGTTAGATAAAGGGTTGATAAGACAAAGGATCGATAAGATAAAGGGTTGAGGTGCAGTCGTGATAAAAAAAAAGATAATTATTTACCGTCAAGTAGCTTTTATTTTCAATTACTTGAGGAAAGATTACACATTAGTTATTTTCACATTATATAGAATTTATAAAGTTAATCCTATATTAGTGATTTAAAAGGATTGATATGTTAACTACGCATATTTACAACAAAACTATACAACAAAAACTGAAAGTCTTTCTAAAAACGATGATAACAAAGTAAAATTATCTCAATGAATAAAATAAAATATATATATTTTTAAAATATAGAAATATTTGAGTTTTTAGATTATATAATATACATATACAGTAAAACCTCTCTGTAAAAGATACCTAATTGCAGAGCTAAAGTGCCCTTTAGGAAAAAGTGTCTTCTTACCGGCGAGTTTTTAAATTATAAAAATGGTAATTTTGCAAATGAAAACTATCCTTTGTGGAGAGGTGTCTGCTAGCAGGGTGTCCGCTAAAGGGAGGTTTTACTGTATATATATGTACCTAGTGAGAGAAATAGGCTACTCTCTCCCTTTAATTATGAACCAGAGCGATGTTTATCATTCTACTAAAAAACTTTACTATTCTTGATAAAGAATGAGCCACAATATACCAGGTTTTGGCCAATTCATACAAGAGGCCAACCTGTCGGTCGAATTTACCAAACAGGTAGTTAAACTGGTGAAGTGGCAAGAGTCGATTTTAAGGTTAGAGTACAACGTAGAGTTGAGGGAGATTGATATTCATGTAGAGGCACCTTCACTAGCTTAAACACCTATTTGGCCAATTCACACACACACACAAAGCCTTTATTAAGACGTTAGTCTTATACAGATTCTCCGTACAAGGTGCAATAACAGGAAAAGAGCAGCACAGGAAACCAGTAGTTCCGCAACTATATACAATTATTAGTAATAAGGAAAAGTAAGATTTAATATGAAAGGTCGACACCATCGCCTCAAGTCTTCAATTCCATAAGCGCGGAGCAGAATTAGGGACTAAGTTATTTAGTTCGCCATAAATATAGCATCCAGACACAAAAAGGAGGTTCTATTTGGCCAATTCGACCGATTTCATTATTCCCTTCGTCAATAAGATATTTAAATACATAAAGGCGATTGAATTAAGTTTGGCATTTAAAATATGGTAAATAAGCTTGTTTCTAAAGACAGGCCTTAATAAAAGACACAATTATACTCTGTTTCTTTTGACAGAGGGAGAAACATGTGTTATCGAGAATTCTGTTC